GTATTGTAATGGGTATTGTACGTTCAGCCAGACAGGGTATATTGCTCATTTGACACACGCTGCCTGATATACGTTATAATGATGTCACTACGAGAAATTGCTTTGTTGCATTTTAGCTGATAGTGGATATCATACAGGTTATCCACTCTTTGTGCCGAATTGCGTAGCCTGATGCTCTTGTATAATGGCCTTTCAAGCTGAAGAGTGAGAGTGGAGCATTTCATTGAGAAATTGGAAGTCTATAGAGGCATTTCTGGTTTCGCTATCTCCAAGCAAAMTGTAAAGAAATGATTCTGCAATACGACCCAATAAAGCCCGTCAAATATTTTAAGCTTATTTGCTTGGCTSAAGACTGTATTCTAAAAACCCACCTTTCAACTGTAGATGCATTTTCTGTTGGCTGTGCTTCTGTACGAGTGGGAGAGTCACGTAGTTCATTTTTGGGAACAGTGCACAAGACTCCTTTTTCATCAATATAAAATCCACTTGTTCTAGGGTCTGCAAACGTTGATATGAAAGGTCCAAGGTTTTGGTAAGCAGCCATTTGTACCTGCAAGGCAAATCAACAATTAAATTTTGTAGGTTCTGGTAGTCCAGTCCTGGCCTCCTTTCAACCCGGTCCAGGAGTYRCTATTTCTCCACGAGTCCTTGAGTGGGTCGAAAGGAGGGCAGGACTGGAATRTGCTGGCTGATTRTGTTTTTATTTGAAGKGTAGTTTTAGGTGCTCTTAATGTTGGAAACAGCATTCATCTTCCAAAATCTTCAATAAGCAAATGACAGCAGATCAGGGTTTACAAGTGCATATCAATTCATGCTCTTGTTATGATGGTGACGTCACTTAAGAAATGAATAAATTATTCTAACAACAACAACAACAATCTTTACTCGATCCTTGATTCACAAGAAGGATTTCAAGGGTTGTCATTTCTATTCAGACGGCATAAGGGTTTTTTTCGGTCCACTACAGATGTCACATCCACAGTTTATTATTTCTTTACAGCTGTTTTCAAAAATCTTTGACCCAAATAAAATGAAAAAGACAAGTTCAACAGTTATCCGAGGTTGTTTGTGTTAATGAAGTACTAATACCGAAGTACTTCATACTAATACTTTTTGCATAACAGCCAATTTAGCTATAAAATTATGTTAATATGAGGTACCTATTTAAAATTTGCTTTTTGCTTTTTATTTGGGCCAGCTTTTTTGGCAACATGTGAATTAGATTTTAGAGCTTACCCAACGTGACTTATCACACAGTAAATTGACAAATACATCAGCAAGATCATTGGTTCTGACATCTTCTGGACATGTTGATGATATACTCATGAATGACTCGGCACATGACTATGGAACACACCAACAATTAGTCACAAAAATCATCAGAACAAAGAACTCTTAAATCATACCTTTCTCACACCCCAGACACCATCTTGACAAAGCCGAAAAAACACGGGCAACTGTGAAGTAACACAACAATGTTACTGATGATAACTTTGAAACATTAACAAAAACATTCGCATTGAATGAAGCCAAAAGAAAAACGTTGACAAAAATTGTTCTTTATAGGTTTTTTTTTTCAAATTTCTCCTATAGTTTGGTGGATTCTAAAATAACGGCCGAATGGACTATAACAGTTCACAGACTGATATCATTGTGTAATCATTAAATGGTTCATTAGAATAATGTAGACATTTCAAGAGCTTCATATACTAGGTAGTCTGCCATACATTGCCACTGTTTACATTCTTTTCCAAACACTGGCAGGTACAAAATGCAGAATGGCAAATGTAAAACAAAAAATGCAAATATAAAATGGTAGTTAACTACTTACCAGTCTTTCTGTGATGAGCTCTGGTCCAATAACATTGCAGATGTCTCCAAATGTCGAAGCACAAACCTTCAGAAAGAGTGAAAATGATACTTCAACGATGTATCTCTTTCTTGCAAGCAGAGTCTCTTTTATTGTACTTATTTCTCAACAAGTAATTGACTACTGTCTTGATTACTTGTCTGAACTACAACAAGACAGACTGTGCTGCATTGAACCACTCACAGCAAAGTAATTGACTACTGTCTTGATTACTTGTCTGAACTACAACAAGACAGACTGTGCTGCATTGAACCACTCACAGCAGCCTCCCTACATCAATACAGACTGTGATGCATTGAACCACTCACAGCAGCCTCCCTGCATCAAGACAGACTGTGATGCATTGAACCACTCACAGCAGCCTCCCTGCATCAAGACAGACTGTGCTGCATTGAACCACTCACAGCAGCCTCCCTGCATCAAGACAGACTGTGCTGCATTGAACCACTCACAGCAGCCTCCCTGCATGCATCCGTAACTACCAAATTATGAATAATATTAATCATAATAACTCTACATATAAATAGTACCTACCTTTCTAACATGAAACAGAGTGTCTGAGCAAAGAACTTCAAACCTCGGTACAAAGAATTTCTCAGTGATACCTGGTCCTACCAAAGATGCCATTTTACTCATCAGCTAAAAAAACATTTCACAAATAAGACAACATGCAATAATGGATGTTGAATTCATGTTGGTTACTGACACGTAATAAACAAATTACTGTTCATTCCTGTTTAGTTTGCACTTGTTGACAACATAATTTATTGTGACCAGGCCGAGGGCTTGCAACACGGTTTCCAAATACAATGACTTTATCTATTTATTCATTCATTCGATTTTCCATATCTGCTAGGTGAGCTCATTTAAACCTCATACAGATCAACTATGAATGAGTCAGACATAAAATAATAAGTCAAGGACAAGACCCTTTTTATATTTAATACATTGTATAATACCATACCGTGACAGCTTCTGATCGATAATCATCACTGCTGTCACCTGCTGTAAGCTGCATCAAAACTGGACAAATCTGATCTTCCACATCAGCTACAACAAAAGCCAATATTTATTCAGTAAATGTAACTTACACTTACAAGAAACTAGAATTTATATAATATTTTGTTAATCATATTCATTTTAGATCATCAAAATAACTGTCCCTCAGCTCTCAATCCCAGATTCTAAAMTATTTAGGATACTACGCGCGCTGTGATTGGTCGAAAACCWTGTTTGATTACAGTATCAAAACACGCTCGCGCACGTCAAAAATTTCTTTTTTTCTTTTAATTTTAGAAAAGAAATAAAAGACGAAATTCCGTGTTTGATACTCTGATCAAAACACTTGGGATGTAGGGAGAGCACTCGAAAAGCTGGAAACCACTCCGCTACCCGTCGTGGTTTCCTACGCTTCTCTCGTGCTCTCCCTACATCCCGCATGTTTTGATCAGAGTATCAAACACGGAATTTCGTCTTTTATTCCTTAATTTATATCTGGAAAATATGGAAATATGCAAGTTTTTCTCTTTTCTTTACAGACGTTTTTCAGTAGTATTTCCATATCAGTAGCCTGCATGCAGCTGAAGGAAAAATGTTGTTGTGTTCAGTGACGAAGATCATGTTCCCTGTACTGGAATATATGTACTTGGATTTAATTGGTTGTTTAGTTTTGACTTCTAACGAGTATGCTCATTGGCTACAGTAAACAAACCATTATATGATTACACAGAATGCCCAATGTGATATAGTGTATCAGAGGGCAATCAGTCTTTTTTAGCTGTAACAATGGAGTTTTGATCATATTTGCAAATGAAAATGCACTGTCTTAGATTAGGTCAATGAACAACAAACACTCCTGAAATATTTCTAGGCATGTCATTGACATGACATGACATTCTATTTCCATCCACCTACACCTAAGACTGTCTCTTATTGACATTGACATGACATGACATTCTATTTCCATCCACCTACACCTAAGACTGTCTCTTATTTACAATTGTCTAAATTGGCTGTTGAAAAATCCACTGTGATCATGGTTCAACTTGAGCAACATATTTTGATGTAATCCATGATTAATAAGACTACTGACAATGGAAAACTAACTTCAATTTGTAACTATCATCCTATGTAACCTCTCAGTACAGGAAAACCTGTCTTTTTTTKTTAATGACTGTTCAACAGTTTTGGTAAATTGTTATAATTCTTTGTTGAAGTATTATAATAATCACGTTGTAGCAAATCATTAATCCTTAACAGTTAAGTCAGATTTTTCTGCGAGAAGTCACTTATCAATCTACTATTAATATACGATATTATCACTATTCTAGATAGAATTGACTTACTCCTTTCTACAAGTTCATGCTTGAGCAGTTCTAGAAGCACATGTTGGCTTGTCTTCCTGACCTGGTTATTTGAGTCCATGAGGTAACGCAGTATAATATACAAAATGTACTGAGGTACTGCTTCCATCAATGAGTAGTTTTCATAGCAGAACAATGCCACATAAGGAATTTGCTCCATCAACTCTACTCTTACACATGGTTCTATGAAGGAATGTTAACATAATCATTCAAAGTTAAATATCAATAAAAATTATAAAGATAATTATATATCCAGTTCAAGCAACCTTTCACATTACTGAAGTACAAACACGTATAGCTAGTACTAATACTTCAACCTCAAGGTTACTGCGACTTGTCTTCATTTGAAACTCACACTACAACCAGTTGATCAATAACAGAGATCTTAATAAGAATAACCCACAAAGATTTCCCATGCATGCAGGTGTAAAGTAACAATAACATTACTATTATATTTAAATTTACGAAGTGTTTAAATGTCAGGCTGCCAGACGTTTAGACACTCCGTTAAATCTAATGTTGGATAGATTTTGAAAAGGAAAAAAAAACAAAGTATATATTAAATGATAAAATTTAATTTTTATGATTTTGATGAAAAATGATACCTAGTRATTGAAAATCAATGATTATTAGCCATTCACTCATCTGATGCTCTCTCATTTTGTCAGTTGWTATCATGCTGATTCTCTCTGTTTTCAGATGTCAAGTTTATACAAAGCGTTGAGGAAAAAGAAGTTCTTTATTGGTTTATAAGTAAACTTGAGTTGATTATAACTAGCAACAGGGGTGCATAGACAGATGAAGGAAGACGACACTAACAAAAATGTAAAAAGCTTATCATCCTAGAAAATGTGGTGTAATACTACCACAAAGAGGATGTCTATAATATATCTGTGGACAGGATAAGTCTAGTTCCTTGCCTTCAGTAGTATTAACTCTTTTGTCCTTTACCACTGGTATAACAACATACAGTTTAAACTTTGTTAAAGTTAAGTGCCATGATTAGGGAGTTGTTACTTGAATTGATCCATGAGAGCATTGATTGATCCTTATATTTCATTTATTACATTCACTACCTATCAATTTCTGTGTTTGTGTGTTTTGTAGTTGTTATTGTTTTAATCAATAGTTGTTTTTTTAATAGATTTTATCAATTTGGTTCACTGAAAATTTGGACATCAATTATTCTCAATTTTTTATATATCAAATGAAAATCAATTATTAAATTGATATCAGTTTTTTATCCTTGATGCATGTACATGTAGCAATTATCAATTTGATCAATTAGTCACATCAGGAAAAAGTAAAAATTAACTTTGTATCTCCAAGTAACCAATGTTCTACTTATTAAGGCAAAATAAACATACCAAGTTTTCAAAATTCAAGAAATCCTGGTATTTTACCAATATCTATGTTATAAATATTAGTTATGATGACAAAACCATTGGCCAAGGTGAAGTGTAAACAGCCAAGTCCATTTTTTACATTTTAAATGAAGACTCTAGTGTAAATTACTTTTTCTTATTGTTTGGCAACTTTGGTCACGAATGCACTGTGAGGGCAGCATACAGATTATCAAAAAGGTCTTTAGCTAGTCAATTATCAATTCAATAATCTAGTCTGAATGTGAAAATGACAGTTAATAAAATACATTATT